CCAGTCAAGGACTGCTTGGGGGATGTCCGCCTGCCAGCTTAGGACCGATCCCTGGCAGGCAGACATCCCCTGAGGGGTCCTTAGCACTGCTGCAGAGGTGGGAGAGGCTCCTGCCACCACCACTGTGCTCACCAGTCGTAAGCTCGGCTTCTGGCTGAGTGGCGCTCCCCCTGTGGGAGTGCACTGACCACCAGGGGGCAATTCCTGCATTGAGTGTCTGCCCCCTGGTGGTCAGTGTTCGTCATAGTGACAAGTCATTCCCGTTCAGTGGATTTGCATATTAGCCTTTTATTATATAGGATTATGTGCCTCTTGCAGTGACATCTGCTGATGCCAAACCACCTTGCCTGGGCCAGCTGAGACCACACACACACACCCCTCACACATGGTTCTCAAATTTTGCAACAGCTCTGAGGGTGAGCTCTGCAAGGCCACATGGCAGCTGAGGAGGGGAGAGTCCCCTGCACCACGGGCTGCCACCAGCCCAGCTCTCCTGCCACGAGGATCTCAAAGGGCGTTTAGGCAACGGCAGCAATGGTTTCATTAAGGCTTTGTCACCCAAAAGATCCACAAGTATAAGTTCCCAGGGGCCAAAATGCACCAACAGAGTGGGTCCCCCTGTGGTAGGCGGCAGGAACGGTACCAGGGTCAGACCAAACCTGGGTTCCGCTACCTTGGTACTTGAGTTCTCACTAGGAAAGAATCCAGAGCCAAGACCCAAACTGTAAGACAGTGGTTCTCAACCTTCCTAATGCCGCGACCCTTTAATACAGTTCCTCATGTTGTGGTGACCCCCAACCACAAAATTATTTTCGTTGCTACTTCATAACTGTAATTTTGCTACTGTTATGAATCGTAATGTAAATATCTGATATGCAGGATGTATTTTCATTGTTCACAACCCACAGGTTGAGAAACGCTGCTGTAAGAGGACGTTTATTGAGTAAATTACAGAGGTAGGAAAAGTAATTCCTAGAAGAGAGGGGCTTAGGAAATGAGTTATGAAGGCAAAGAATGGGCCTTTGGAGCTTGGGAGGGAAGGGGAGAGAAAGGGGGAAGGAAAGGAGGAGGGAAAGGGAAGGGACGGGAAGGGAAGGGAAGGGAAGGGAAGGGTAAAGGCCTGCTCCCAGGAGGGAGAGCCCATTGGGTCAGAGATCTTAGGGGCGGTCCCAGGGGAAGATCTCAATAGAATATTCAGCAGTTTTCCAGGTGTGTCCTTTCAGGGTTGTGGTCTCCACTGACTGACTGACTGGTCAGCACCAGGCCAGGGGGCCATTATTCCCTGCAGCTGTCCAGAGGTTTGTTGCTTACCTTGGCCTGGAACTGAAATACAACAGAGGCAAAGATGTTATCTCTAGGGAGGAGAGGTCAGGGGGTCCAAACCACAGGACAGCAATATGCCAGGGGAGGAGAAGTCCCCCTGGGGGGCAAGGTCCCGCCCTCCCATTGATTGTCTTTTCCACTTGGGGCTTTCCACCCTGGTGACCGGCACTGGCCCTGCTCTGCTCATGTCTGTCTAACTGCCTAGAGCAGCCATGGGCAAACTACGGCCCTCGGGCTGGATCCGGCCCGTTTGAAATGAATAAAACTAAAAAAAAATAAAGACCGTACCCTTTTATGTAATGATGTTTACTTTGAATTTATATTAGTTCACACAAACACTCCAT